TAAAGTTAATATAAAAATTTTTACTAATTAAAAATAAAATTTAATTAATAAAAATTTTTGTATTAACTTTATAATTAGAATAATTCTTTTAAAAAAAAATCTAAAAATCTGAAAAAAATATATATTAAATTATAACTTATAAATTTTATTTTGATATAAAAATAAAAATTATTTCTTAATAAAATATAAAGTTTAATATAGAGAAAAAATTTCAATTTTTATTATATTTTATTAATAAAAGTAGTCTTCTGATTTCATAATTATAAAAGTTACTATATAATAAATCTTATAATTATAAATTAAAAGATTAATTTTATAAAATATTATAAAAGTTAAAATTAAAATTTTATATTAAAATTTATAATTTTTATAATATTTTATAAAATTAATTTTTTTTAATTTTATATTAAAAATAAAAATTTTAAAAAATATTTTTAATAAAATTAAAAAACTTTTATATAAAATTATAATTAATAAAAAAAGAATTTTATTTTTTTATTAATAATTAATTCAATTTAAATAATATAATAATTAATAATTATAAAGATTTTTTTATATTTAAAAAATAGTTTAATTATTTATATAAAAAATATTTAAAATAATAAATATTTTCAATTAATTTAATTAATTAAGAAATTTCAAATTATTTATTATTAAAAGAATTTATATTATATTTAAAATTAATTTAATTTAAAAAGAATCTATTATATAATAAGTATTAAATTTATTAATAAAATTTATAATTTTTTAATAAATATATTTTTATATATTAAATAAAATTCATAACTTATAATAATTCAGCATATATTTATTATATTTTTTGATAACAACTTAATAATTTAAATAACTCTCAGAAAAAAGTTATAAAATTTTAATATAAAGAGATAATTTCAATTTTTACTTTTTATAAATAATTCAGCTTTCTAATTTCATAATTCTGTTAATTACTATATTTAAAATCAAAAAAATTTTATTCATTCTGAAAGAATTAAATTAATCAATTAATTAGAAAGCAATTTTTAAACTGTAAATTAAAAGAAATCAACTATCACAAAGTAAAATAAATAATTTTTTTGAAAACATCTGCTGGTTTCTTTTATTATTCTTTAACTATTCTTTAATTATATTATCAAACAACTTTACATTTTAAAAAGTTAATAATGATGTGTTTTATATTAGTTAAAGTATAACGATAAATAATTTTAAATTCAGAAATAACGAATTGAGAGAAGGGAGCTTTGATTCCGAATAGAGATATAATACAAACAAAATATGCATTTTACGCAAGAAGTGTTTTTATGAATGCTGATTCATCTATATTTTATGGTTTCGATCCAAAATTTTCTCTAATATAAGCAAAAATCTAATTATACTTAAATACGGGGTAATAAACTATAAATAATAAATTAAAGTCGTAATTTTAGTTTAATCATCAGTAATATCACCATATTCGAACATTCCCATACGATCTTTCTTTGCCAGTTCTTGGGTTTCGAGTAGTTTATCTACAATCGAATTTCTTGATAAATATTTTTTATCCACTAAAGCAAGTCCATCACGAACTAATTCTGCGTTAATTGATGCTTCGGGTGATTGTGACTTGGTAGGATCATATAATGTCAAATATCGCACTTTATTCTCGGTAAACTCAAGATTTGCAACTAATTGTTTATTGTCGGTTAATTCACGAAATCGTTCAAGTGCTTCATTTCCATAATCATCCTCGGGTAGTGGGACTTTGATGAATGAGAGCATAGCCTCGTGTGACTGCGGAGGTAATTGTAAAAAGTTTGGTGGAATAGGACGAACGCGTGATAATGGAATTGTCTCGCTGTTACCATAATCGATATAAATAACTTCAACTGTTTTTTTTTCAGGTAAGTACTTTTTGATTTTTGCACGATACCATTGATCGTCTTGCGTGAATTGTGCGCTTACAATCTCACCATTTCGAGGAGTAATTGTTTGATTGTTATTGTTATTTTTATGATGTAGTGAGAACTCAGACATCAATCGTTCTAATGAATGAATACTATCATTTACAATCTGTATATAGAAATGTCCTCCCGAGATAACCTCGGAAACAATTATGTCTAGATATTCTTTTTGAGATTCTTTTTCTTGTAAAGCTCCTTCATGATCATTCACAAGATCGTTCGATAGGTTATTTCCATCAACTAGCGTCCAAATATTTTTTCGAGAAGATTTCGCCGCTCGTTCTGCGGCGTAAAGTTGATTCGCATATGTACTTTGATCTGCGCTATATTCATGAATAGTTGCAAGGCCTTCTTGTAATAAGGAGACTGCAAAATTTTCCGTTTTATTCAACCATAAAGTGCCAATAAAACCACCAGTTTTATCGACATTTTCAACCTCAATTTCAACGTCACGTTGCAAAGCTCGATTCGTAGCGAATTCTAATGCCTCAGCAGCAAATGGTTCTGATTTTTCCGATGGAGATCGACCAAGTCGAGGACTACGCACACCACCCAACACAAAAGTTAATTTGCAATTTTCTTTTGGAACATAAATTTTGAAACGTGATCCATTTGCTACATGATCAACCAT